TGCATTCATTATACACACTCTTCACTCACTACAAACACGCTACATTCACTATACACCCTCTGCATTCACTATACACACTCTGCATTTATTATGCACATTCTGCACTCACTACACACTACATTCACTATACACACTCTGCATTCACTACAAACACACTACATACACTGCATTCAGTGTACACACACTCTGCACTCTCACTAAAACACACTGCATTCATTATACACACTCTGCATTCACTACAAACACACCATATTCATTATACACACCCTGCACTGCACTATATGCATAGGAGTGTCATTTTTTTTAAAGGGGGGGGGGAGAGGCGGCGGGAATCTTGGGTGAGTTCCCACACTTTTTTCCCCAGGACTTGACCCCTGCACAATCTCCCACCCATATGATCTGCCATATGAACCAACGCCAGTGCTGCACACAGTGTCTTTTCTCTGCAGGAACAGGCTATTGACACCATAGCCCCACCCCACCCCACCCCACCCCCTGCTCTTTAATTAAAAATGCCTTGTAAAGGAAGACAAAACTTACTTGGAATCCAGCACTGAGCAGGTTTCCTTCATGCCTGTCTGATGTTGTGCTGCCTCACGCCTTCTTTCTCCATGGTATTTAAGAAAATATATATAACTCTTAATGCAGAAATTCCAGAGAGGAAGCAATGGATATGAATCTAGGCTCCGCCGGGCTGCAGTGGGAGGAAGGGGTTAAATCCCTTACCTTTCTCCAGCGCCAGCCTCCCTCGGTGCTGGGGACTCTCTTCCTCCTTCGGTTGTCATCGTCATTCAGTCAGTCCATAGGAGAGCATTCTCAATGCTTTCCTATGGACGCTGGCATCTTCTCACTGTGAAAATCACAGTGAGAAGCGCGGAAGCGCCTCTAGCGGCTGTCAATTAGACAGCCACTAGAGGCTGGATTAACCCATATGTAAACATAGCAGTTTCTCTGAAACTGCTATGTTTACAGCAGGCAGGGTTAACCCTAGATGGACCCGGCACCCAGACCACTTCATTAAGTTGAAGTGGTCTGGGCAGGGCCAGCGCTACCTGTAAGGCGACCCAGGCGGCCGCCTAGGGCGCAACTTAGCAGGGGGCACCGGCGTCCTGCACCCGGAATCGGCAATTGGCCACCACCGGCCGGCCGGTGTGGCACTCCTCATGCTGTGCCGCCTGAGCGCTACAGAAAGCCTCAGGCGGCACAGCACTGCTCTATGGAGGGCGGCCGCAGAGAGAGGTGACCGCCCATGAGACCACCCACGTGACAGTGAAGGTGGGTGGGCGCGCAGCAGACCTCTAAGAGGAGGTCTCTCGAGGTCTGAGGACTTACCTATTCCTGATGGAGGCGGAGTTCAAGTGCCCCTTCCACCCTTGAGCACAGATAGGGGGCAGACCAGCGGATTTTAAAGTGGAAGAAGGTGCCTGCTTTAAGTGCCTGCTGCTTGCAGTGGCCTCCTCCTGGATTGTAGCTGGTTTCTGCTTCCCCAGCCTCTAGTCTCCAGAGCCTGTATTTGACCAGGAGCCAGACTGCAGCCAGAGACCATCATCTTCTTGTCCTTATCTGGTGTGGTCAGTAGGAAATCCAATATTTTTATTATTTAGTAATATTATTACATAACTAATTTACCTCACATTAAAAGGACACTATAGTTCCAGAACCGCTACAATTTAATGTAGTGGTTTTGGTGTCTATAGCCTGTCACTGCAGGCTTTTAAAAGGTAAACACTGTCTTTTCAGAGTAAAGACACTGTGTGCAGTACTGGTGTTAAAGGATCACTATAGTGTCAGGAAAACAAAGCGGTTTTCCTGACACTATAGTGCCCTGAGGGTGCCCCCACCCTCAGGGTCCCCCTCCCGTGGCGCTGAAGCTTACCTTATTCCAGCGCCTCTCCTCCCCCGCCGCCGTCAGCTCCCCTGTCCGACGAGACAGAGGCTGGCTTAACCCCAAATGTAATCTGAAAGGTTAAAACCTGAGGGACCTGGCTCCCAGACCACATCAATGAGCTGAAGTGGTCTGGGTGACTATAGTATCCCTTTAAGTGTCTCCACGCCCTGCATGGAGGAGCTTAAAGGGAGACTCCAGGCACCCAGACCACTTGTGCCAACTCCCACTACCCTTAACCCTGCAAGTGTAATTATTGCAGTTTTCATAAACTGCAATAATTACCTTGCAGGGTTAAGTCCTCCTCTAGTGGCTGTATGTCAGACAGCCACTAGAGGGACTTCCATGTTCTTATAACACGAAAAGTGTGTTATACGACGCTGGACGTCCAAACGCTATGTGAGGACCTCCAGCATTGCCGAAATCCGCATAGGAAAGCATTGAATAATGCTTTCCTATGTGGAGGTCTAATGCGCGTGCGCGGCCATTGCCGTACATGCGCATTAGGTCTCCCCCGCTGGCTGACGTCAGTGAGGGACAGGACTGCATTAATGTAACAGGATACAGGTGTATAGCGTTCCTGACGCTATAGTGTTGTGTATAGCGTTCCTGACAAAATAGTGTTCCTTTAAGTTGCTCCCCACCTCCACTACATCAACCACCGTGCCCACACTTGCATAATGCAGAGATCCTCTGGCTTTTGGCTGATGTAGTGAAGGTAGGGTAAGATAAGGTAAGAAGTCAAACTTCTCTAATACGGTTTGACTACTTACATGGGGGGCAGTGTCAGACCACTATGCTATGTAGAGGTAATGGTTCATAAAAAATGTCTCTTTAATGAAATGTACAATTTGAACTTTGTTTTATCAGGTTCATTTATAAAAGTGTGAATTTTTGGGAATCAAAGTGAACGTCACAGTAGCCAAATGGGGGGGGGGTGTGGGGGGAATGGGGATATTGGGGAGCTGTAACATAGTGATGGATATCGCCATATGGTCTAACTGAATCCCAATTTTTTTTTTTTGCTAGTAGAGGTGATTTTAAGTAGCTATCCGATACTAGATGGTCAAAATTGATGCTATTCAGCCATTTAGGTTCCATGTTGGAGAAGTGTATGACACCTTAATTGAAATCGGAGGTGATATGAATTTTGCTGCTCTTGCAAGAATCAAGGCTTCATCCTTGGCAAAAGAGTTAAACAAGTTTAAATTCTTGTGTTTTATCATCCTTTGGTTTAACATACTAAGTCGAATTAATTCTGTCAGCAAAGTTCTTCAAAGCCAGTCAATGTACTTGCCAGATGTTGTGGAATTTTTGGAATCAATCAAGACATTTTTTCAATCTTATCGGACAGATAATGGTTTTGAGGATTTACTTAAAGAAGCAGGAGAGCTAGCAGTGGAAATGGAAATAGACCCAGTGCATCAGACGAGGAAAAAAAAAGGTTGCTTTTGAATGAGGTTCCAGATGACCCTATCTTAGATCCTAAAAATAAATTTAAAGTGGAATGTTTCTTCACAATATTAGACACAAAAATAAAATCTGTACATGAAAGATATGAACAGCTGAAATTTCATTCCAAGCATTTAAAATATTTGTATGACATCTACAAGCTAAAAGATGTGCAAAAAGAATTGCAAAATGTCTTAACCGATGCAAAATCAAAGGAGTCTGATGTAGATGGAAGGCAAATGTGTGACGAACTTGCTGTATTGGCTCCTGTTATAAAACCTACGATGACACCTGTTGATATTTTGGCCTACGAAGTGAGGAATGGATTTGCTCCAAATGTAGCAATTGCACTTCAAATTATGTTGACCTTACCAATCACTGTTGCCACAGGTAAGCGAAAATTTAGAAGCTGAAAATTGTAAAAAAGTATCTTCGTTCTTCAATGTCCCAAGAACGGCTTGTGGGACTTGCCATGATATCAACAGAGAATCGGACGGCACAGGAGATTGACTTTGAAACATTACTGAAGGACTTTGTGAATGCCAAAGCAAGAAAAGTTAAATTTATTTAGATAGAATAACTGTTAGAAAGTATTTAAGCTGTTTAGCACTTAAATTGTATGCTGCATTTATATATTTATTTTGCTATGTGTTTGGGGGTTCTTTGAATGACCATACCATTTCTATTGTTGCACTTATATTATGCAAGTATGCCACTATAATATAAATGTGGGCATGTGTTTTTCTCTTAACAACTGTATGTTGTATTGCTCTTTCAGAATGTTAATGTATTAAACTATTTAAATTCGCACTTTATTTTACATTCAGGCCAGCATGCTAATTGGGGCTGGAGGGGCGGTCCCCCCGGTGCCAGCAGGGTGGGGTGCCTTGGGAGGGGGGCGCCGGCCCTCCGCTGCAGCCGCCCGAGCCTGCAGAGAGCCTCAGTCAGCTGCAGCTTTGCCCTGCCTGGCCAGCATGAGGAGAGGGGCTGACAGGAGGAAGCGCTCAGTGTCCCTCCTGTCGCTTCCTTCAGTGTGCGGGTCGAGCCCGTACCATGCAGGTAGGAGGCTCTGTCTCCAGTCACGGCCGGACTAACAGGAAGTGCACACTCAGTGTGCACTTCCTGTTAGTCCGGCCGGGTCAGGAAACAATAGCTCCCTGTACCTGTGGACCAATAGAGGGCTCGGCCACGCTACAACTGAGGTAGGGGGTGGAGGAGGGGGGAGAATAAGGAGAGATGGGGGGGAGAATAAGGAGAGATGGGGGGAGAATAAGGAGAGATGGGGGGAGTATAAGGAGAGATGGTGGAGAATAAGGAGAGATGGGGGGAATAAGGAGAGATGGGGAATAAGGAGAGATGGGGTGGGAAGGAGAGATGGGGAATAAGGAGAGATGGTGAACAAGGGAGATATTGGGGTGGAATAAGGAGAGATGGGGGGGAATAAGGAGAGATGTGGGGTGGAATAAGGAGAGATGGGGTGGAATAAGGAGAGATGGGGAATAAGGAGAGATGGGGGGAATAAGGAGAGATTGGGGGATAAGGAGAGATGGGGAATAAGGAGAGTTGGGGAGGATAGTGAACAAGGAGAGATGGGGGAATAAGGAGAGATGGGAGGGATAGGAGAGATGGGGAATAAGGAGAGATGGGGAATAAGGAGAGATGGAGGGGAATAAGGAGAGATTGGGAGGGGAAAGGAGAGATGGGAATAAGGAGAGATGGGGGAATAAGGAGAGATGGGGAGGGGATAAGGAGAGATTGGGAGGGGGATAAGGAGAGATGGGGGGATAAGGAGAGATTGGGGGGATAAGGAGAGATGGGGATAAGGAGAGATTGGGAGGGGGGATAAGGAGAGATTGGGGGGATAAGGAGAGATTGGGAGGGGGGAAGGAAATTGGAGAGGGGGATAAAGAAAGAAATTGGGAGGGGGAGAAGGAAATTGGGAGGGGGGAATAAAATTGAAGGGGGGGATAAAGAAAGATTGTGAGAGGGGGATAAAGAAAGAAATTGGGAGGGGGAGAGAGAAGGAAATTGGAGGGGGGGAGAGATTGACATTCATCACACACAATGCACCCCTTGCACACAGAAAAACACACAATGCATTACACACACTGCATTACACACACAGACACACATACACAAGCAATGCAACCGTTACACACAATGCATCCCTTACACACACAGAAACACTCAATGCACCCCTTACACACACTCAATGCATCCCGTACATACACAGAAACACACCTTGCAGCCCTTACACATACAAACACAGATTCACACAATGCATTCCTTACACACATATCAGGACATCCCCTACACACTCCACCCCCTGTGAACAAACTCATTAGTGGAACATGAAGGTGGACCCTGGGACCCAGACCTTGAGCTGTGTAAAGGGCCCCCAAAAAATGGAGCTGCTTCCCGTTCTCCCAGAACATTGATTTTTGTGACCACAGTTACAAACCGCCTCCAGAGAGCCTGTTCTACACCAGACCAGTGGAGCCAGACTGCAAATAGAGCCCATCATCATCCTCATCTGGTTGTAAGTAGGCAATCTAGTATATTATTCGTGGCACTAATCTCTAATTTACCTCACATTAAAGAAACATTATTCTGGTGTCTATAGCCTGTCCCTGCAGGCCTTTTAATGTAAACACGGCGGCACTGCAGCACTGGCGTTAGATAACATGGCAAATCATATGGGTGGGGCATTGTGATGTCACATGGGGGGGCGGCAAACTTTACTTTACTTTTGCGGCATAAATCCTTGCACCGGCCCTGGCTAGAGGGGGCTGTGTGAGCTGTGGCCGCACAGTGCCCCATGGTAGTTAGGGTGCCGTGCGGTCAGTACAGCTCACACAAGCAAACAGCTGATAAACTGGCCGCACCGAGGAAAAGTGGGGTGGAGCTAAGCAAAATCAGAGGCGGAGCCAAACTGGCTGGGGAAGGGGCTTTGGGGGGGTCAAGGGGGTGCCAAGCACAAGACCCTCCCCGGGTGACAAATGCTCTAGGTACGCCCCTGATTGTGGCTTTTTGTGCAATTTGTCAGTGTCTTGAACCAAACGCTATAGGGTTATTCACTAAAATGAGAATTTAAAGTGAATTCTAAATTTAAGGTCAAAGTAGCTTAAATTAAAGCATAACTGACGTAGATAATTTTTAAAAATCAGTAATTTTGTTTGCACTAGAGAACTAAATTTGGGTAAGAAACCATGAAGTTACCAAATACATGAGCAACCGAACAATCTAATACACAGGCTTGTTTTTTTTAGCAATGGCTTAAGTTATGGTAGTTATTCTCCACCATTCTAAATAGGGGGCTTAATTGCAACATATAACTAATAATTTAACCCCTTAAGGACCAAACTTCTGGAATAAAAGGGAATCATGACATGTCACACATGTCATGTGTTCTTAAGGGGTTAAATGTTGAGAAAGGGGTGGGTCATATGTGATGTCATGATATGGGTTTGTGATGTCACATCGTGGGCCGGGCATATGGGGGGGGTCAATTTTTATTTTGCCTATGGCGGCAAAAATCCTTGCACCGGCCCTGGGTCTGGGTGCCTATAGTGGTCCTTTAAGTGTGCCTCAGGCAGAAAGGCTTTCTCTGTATTTGCAGTGTTTTAATCAGAAATGCTGTATACACAGATTCCTATCTGTTAATGTGGAGAGTGGGGCAAAAATCCAGTCTGGGCAATTAAAGGCAGTACAGCCCACTAGGAGGGACAAGAAGAGAAATGAGGCATGTTATGACATTATAAAGCATGCTTCCCCAAAATTTTGAATATTAGTGTGATATCCCTGCAGAGTGCCAATGCACAGAGCCCTGCTAAAGTGTTCTCAGATTAAGAAAATGTCCTGTTTTTGTTTCTGAACAATGCAAGCAAATGTAATGATATGCTTGTTGTGTGTTTCTTGTCTCTGGTCTCCCTAAAAAGTGGGATACCAGAGAACAAAAATGGAACAGGGCTATTATGCAGTGTATGGGTGTGACAGATCTCTCTGTCTTGGATTTAAAGAGAACTACTATTACTTCGTTGCTTGAATTCGTGTTATTTTATTTGATTCATGTCTTTCCCCATTCGTGTAGAACTCTATATGCTTCCCGGAAACTACCAAACAAAACTCCCGAACGGCCGGCCACCCAGTAGAGAAGTGTGCTGCTGGTTAACCTCTTGGCCCCATTAGAACATTGAGGTTAACCGCAGACACCTCTTAATTGATGCCTGTAGCTGGCACAAACACTGCTGAAGCCGCCGACCTCCGTTCTCCTTCGATAGAAAACTCACGAAGGTCCATGTATTCAGGATTTTGTCCGCGAATAAGCCATACCCCAGATAGCCATCCCGTGGAGTCTATTCGTATGGAGAACAGACTTTGTGAACACTTTGACTCCAATGTGATTGGACTGTGTGCATAGGATCTAAGCGCTATTCGGTACTTTTGTGCGCTCAGATCCCAGCTTTCTGGGGACATGTTGAATGCCTGTATTATGTCCATTTATTGTATTTTTATGCATTTTGTTAAAGTCACTTAAAATGGCGTTTGGTCATTGTCCAGGGAGATAATTGAATTACTTCACAATTATCTCCCGGGCAGAGGGTCTTGGGTAATTAAAGGGGCATGGCTACATGTGTAACACTCTGATTGGTCAATGTAATGTCCTTGTCACAGTCTCCCATTTGGTCCCCTAGGGGAGTGTCCACCAGGTAGGAGACCTGCATAAATACCAGGCAGGTAGCCCTCAATAAACCAGATTCCTGCTGACCCTCAATACGGAGCTTTGTCTCGTCATTGGGGGGATTATTCATATGGATTACGCTTGTTCAGCTGTTTGGGAGACTAGCTGGTTCGTGTGATTGCTGTTCGGCTGTTTGGGAGACTTATTGGTTCGTGTGATTGTTGTTCGGCAGTTTGGAGCGCTCAGTGGCTACCTCTATATTTGGGAAGGGAACGTTCAATACGGCTGTAACCCCTCTCCTACCGGGGGAGCCGTAACAGTGTGGATGTGTGAGAACCCTCGAAAGATGACCGGTCCTTGCCTTGTTTTCTATGTAACTGTTTTGGGGCATCACCTCGTGGTCGACTGGTCAAAACTTCATCCGAATGGCGTTCCCGTTCCATCAAAGGTATCAGAGCACTATTCCAACAAAGTGGGCATTCAGACCCAAGCTATTCAGTGATATGACTTTCGTGGGGTTCCTATACTATTAAAATTTATTTTTATGAAAATTGTATATCTTTTCCTGTATTTGAGAGATAATGGAGTTATAGTTTTCTCACTCAATTATCTCTCAGAAACAGAGGATCCTTGGAGGAAAACCTTTGTAATGTTGATATGGAGACCCCATGCTAGGAGTCAGTGCATAAAAGCTGAGAGTGGCCAAAATAAACTCAGTTGACTCCCAGAACTATGTGTCATCTAGTTGCTGGGGGGAAAGGGTCTTGGATTACTACAGTGATCCTTTTAGCTTCAAGGAAGGAATAGCGGAGATAACTATGTGTGGTATTGGAGTATTACACAGAAAAAAATCCTGCCCAGAGAAATTACATTCTAATAAATAGTTGCAAAGTGGAGAGATCTATGCTCACAGAACTTACACTCTACTTTATATTTTACCATACATGATGTCGGTATTGTTCTCTGCACATAAAGCTTACTATCTATCAAAGAGTTGCAGAGAACAGCGGTCTGTGAGAATGGATCCTACTCTCTAATATACATTTATTATTCATATAAATTGGTTTCTGCCCATGGAGAAGGATGGTAATATAAAGAATACAATCAGAGGGAAAAAATTCCTGCCCAGAGAGCTTACATTCTAATAAATAGTTGCAGGGCGTAGAGATCTATATTCACAGAACTTACACTCTACTTTATATTTTACCATACATACTGTCGGTATTGTTCTCTGCAGTTAAAGCTTACTCTCTATTAAAGAGATGCAGAGAAGAGAGGTCTGTGAGAATGGATCCTACACTCTAATATACATGTACTATAAATCTATTTTAGTTTTCTGTCCATAGGGAGGGACTATAATACAATCAGAGTTAATAATTACTGCCCACAGAGCTTACATTCTAATAAATAGTTTCAGAGCATGGAGATCTATGCTCACATAATTTATACTCTACTACCATACATACTGTCAGTATTGTTCTCTGCACATAAATCTTTCTCTCTATTAAAGAGTTGCAGTGAAGAGACGACTGTGAGAATGGGTTCTACACTCTAATATATATATATATATATATATACATATATATATATATACACTATAAATCTATTTTAGTTTTCTATCCACAGGGAGGGATTATAATATGAATAATACATATTATAATCTCCTCCCTTCTTATTATTACATTGAAGGGAGGAGACATGTTAATCCTGGTGGTCCAGTGAACTTGTTATTTGGTCTGTACCTCCACAAGGTACAGAACATGCCCCTCCATCTAACAAGCTCTTCTGGTTCAGAGAGTTGCCATGGGTAACCACTCTGATAATATCTGAGCTTGCGAGAAGACAGTTGTAAGCTGCCTGGCTCACTTACCTTGCAAGGCCCAGCAGAGGAGATCCTTTGACCTCCCCTGTCAGTCTCTGCCCATGGCCATCATGGAACACCAAGCATTTGCTTGGTTTGCCACATGGCCAGTCCAAGCCTCACATCAAACAAGAAAGTAATAATTCAAAATGTTAACAGAAATTAAGAAGTAACTGAGTACCCTGTGTAACGGACCACCAGGCACCCCGACTGGATACCTCCGTCAATCGCTGCTTCCTAGTAATCCTTGAATTCCATAAGGCTGCTCTTACAAGAGCAATCGTTGTAAGCCAAGGGAGTATAGTGATTATAGCAATCCCCAGAGTGTGAATATAGCTCTCCAATCCCCAAACATGAGCCTAGACTTCATGAAGGGTAAAACGAATCTCTTTAATGGCAGCCACAACTAGCCTTATATGCAGGTCCCCATGCATGAGGCACTGCCACCTGGACTTGAGAGTAGACTACGGTAAAAACATATACACGATTAGATTGGCTCTCATGTCCAGGACACTCCCATACAAAATAGGTCAATCCCTCCCCTGTGCCTGGGAGATAATAAAGTCAAGCACTGTATTAAATTCAATTATCTCCAGGCACAGAAAACAAACATTTTTACAAAAAGCCCAAAAATACTTTCAAAACACATAAAAAAAACTCCCACAAAAATTACATCCCCTGATAGCCCGGATCTGGGTGACCAACATATCCAAAAATCACCCAGATCGGTTCAGGGGTTCGGGATTTTCATGGAAGTCAATTATTTGACCGACCGTGCATATGGTCCTATGCACAAAACAGTTCCAGGGTATCAGGGCTAACGGTCGGTCTCTCTTTCTTGAGGACAAAAGTACATAAATCACATGAACGGTGCATTTTAAAGTGCATTGGGCAAGGTATATTGCAGGGCCCATAGTCC